AACATCAAATCTGGTATCTCAGAAAATTAGAATATTCTAAAGGCCAATGAAAAAATGTTTGTTTCTCTAATGTTGGCCAACTGAAAAGAATGAACATGAAAAGAATGTGCATGTATAGCACTCAATACTTAGTCGGGGCTCCTTTTGCCTCAATAACTGCAGTAATGCGGCGTGGCATGGACTCGATCAGTCTGTGGCACTGCTCAGGTGTTATGAGAGCCCAGGTTGCTCTGATAGTTGTCTTCAGCTCCTCTGCATTGTTGGGTCTAGCGTATTGCATCCTCCGCTTCACAATACCCCATAGATTTTCTATGGGGTTAAGGTCAGGCGAGTTTGCGGGCCAATCAATGACAGGGATACCATGGTCCTTGAACCAGGTGCTGGTGGTTTTGGCACTGTGTGCAGGTGCCAAGTCCTGTTGAAAGGTGAAGTCTGCATCCCCATAAAGTTGGTCAGCAGCAGGAAGCATGAAGTGCTCTAAAACTTCCTGGTAGACGGCTGCATTGACCCTGGACCTCAGGAAACAGAGTGGGCCAACACCGGCAGATGACATGGCACCCCACACCATCACTGACGGTGGAAACTTTACACTGGACCTCATGCAACGTGGATTCTGTGCTTCTCCGCTCTTCCTCCAGACTCTGGGTCCTTGATTTCCAAAGGAAATGCAGAACTTGCTTTCATCAGAAAACATAACTTTGGACCACTCAGCATCAGTCCAGTCCTTTTTGTCCTTGGCCCAGGCGAGACGCTTCTTGCGCTGTTTCTTGTTCAAGAGTGGCTTGACACACGGAATGCGACACCTGAATCCCATGTCTTTCATGAGTCTCCTCGTGGTGGTTCTTGAAGCGCTGACTCCAGCTGCAGTCCACTCTTTGTGGATCTCCCCCACATTTTTGAATGGGTTTGTCGTCACAATTCTCTGCAGGGTGCGGTTATCCCTAGAGCTTGTACACTTTTTTCTACCACATTTTTTCCGTCCCTTCGCCTGTCTGTTAATGTGCTTGGACACAGAGCTCTGCGAACAGCCAGCTTCTTTAGCAATCACCTTTTGTGTCTTGCCCTCCTTGTGCAAGGTGTCAATGATTGTCTTTTGGACAGCTGTTAAGTCAGAAGTCTTCCCCATGATTGTGGTGCCTTCAAAACAAGACTGAGGGACCTTTTAAAGGCCTTTGCAGGTGTTTTGAGTAAATCAGCTGATTAGAGTGGCAGCAGGTGTCTTCTATATTCAGCCTTTTCAGAATATTCTAATTTTTTGAGATACCTAATTTGGAGTTTTCATTAGTTGTCACTTATGAATATCAAATTTAAATGTAATGAACATTGGAAATACATTGGTCTGTGTGCATTGCATGAATATAATGTACAAGTTTCACGTTTTGACTGGAATTACTGAAATATTTTCAACCTTTTGATGATATTCTAATTTACTGGCCAGCACCTGTATAGTAGATATTTAGGGGAGAGAAAAAAACTTCACTGACATTAATCTCTGAAAAAATTCAGATCTAATCCGGTAAAAGTTACTTTTGTCCTCAAAATTCAGAGAATAACTAATGAAGGCTTCCATTTCATTCATTGTGTTTTAAAGGAGTTGAGCTTGTACACATGTGAAACTGTAGAGCCTCTTTAGGTTTTAGCACGGACCTGTCTAATTACTGGGTAACCTGCTTCTGACCAACATGTTTTACGCGACTCAGACTTTCTGCTTTGTTTCGTATCGGACACGAAAAAACAAAGACCCTGTCAGAGTCTCCCTGAACACTTTTAATCCACAAGTTTACTCTAGCAGCACTTTCTCCACCGTGCTCCCTGATGCCTCTGCTTTGGTGGTTTGGGTGCGCGCTCCATCATGGACGTAATTTTGGGGGGGGACAGGGGGGACATGTCCCCCCCACTTTTTCCAAAGTCAAGTTTTGACCCCTGCACTTTTTACCATCCAAAAATAATATTACGCTATATTAAATTGACACTGACTGAGCACTAGGACCAAGCGGAAAACAACCGTTGAAGCCAGTTTCCCATTAGAACATACTGTAAAGATATAGCCCCCCCCCCCCCCCCCCCCCCCACTTCTAAAGTGAAAATTACATCCTTGCGCTCCATGCACTTTGGACCTAGTCACTCTAACATCGGCTGGAAAACGCAGCAGTGTTTTGTAAAGATCCTAATCCAGGGAGATACCCAGAAGTTATTTCTTGTATCCCTAAGAAGCCACAGGATCCTTTAGTTTTACTCCAGTATAAGGTGAACAGGGCTAGAGGCTAACTTTGAGCCAACAAGGCAAACAGGGTCTTAAAAGCTACGCTCTAAAAATATCTCTTGCTATTTGTTTTTATTACTAACTCGATGTTACAGTTTATTTTTTATCAACTTACTGTGTGTGACTCGTCTTCACTCGTCATCTAGAATCTTCTGCTGCTGAGTCGTAGCTAGCAAGAGCCATGAAACTCACGGAACGAGAGTGAGAAAGAGACTCGTTTTGTTTGGGAACTGGGCTGCAATACCCAAATTTGACCACAGGATATCATTCTTACTTCTGTGTTACATAATGCGCCTTTAACCCTCTTTTTTTTTCTCTACAGTGGTCAGTTCGCTGTGGTCAGAAGATGTCGCCACAGAAGCACGGGTGCGGAATTTGCCGCCAAGTTTATTAAGAAGCGGCGCAGCAAAACGAGTCGGCGAGGGGTGACGAGGGACGACATTGAGAGAGAGGTGAACATCCTGAAGGAGATTCAGCACCCGAACATCATCGCGCTGCACGAAGTGTTTGAGAACAAGGCCGAAGTCATCCTCATCCTGGAACTGTGAGTGTTTACTGTCTGGCTTCAGGACCACATGGGTCTATTGTGGGTCCTCATGGGTCCACATGTGGCTGTTATTATGGGTCCTCATGGGTACACATGTGGCTTAATGGGTCGTTATGGGTCCACATGTGGCTTAATGGGTCCTCATGGGTCCACATGTGGCTTAATGGGTCCTCATGGGTCCACATGTGGCTTAATGGGTCCACATGTGGCTTAATGGGTCCTCATGGGTACACATGTGGCTTAATGGGTCCTCATGGGTCCACATTGGTCAACATGTGGCTTAATGGGTCCTCATGGATCCACATTGGTCCACGTGTGGCTTAATGGGTCCTCATGGGTCCACATTGGTCCACATGTGGCTTAATGGGTCCTCATGGGTACACATGTAGCTTTATGGGTCCTCATGGGTCCACATTGGTCCACGTGTGGCTTAATGGGTCCTCATGGGTCCACATTGGTCCACATGTGGCTTAATGGGTCCTCATGGGTACACATGTGGCTTAATGGGTCCTCATGGGTCCACATTGGTCCACATGTGGCTTAATGGGTCCTCATGGGTCCACATTGGTCCACATGTGGCATAATGGGTCCTCGTGGGTCCACATTGGTCCACATGTGGCTGAATGGGTTCTCATGGGTCCAGATTGGTCCACATGTGGCTTAATGGGTCCTCATGGGTCCACATTGGTCCACATGTGGCTTAATGGGTCCTTATGGGTACACATGTATCTTTATGGGTCCTCATGTGTCCACATTGGTCCACATGTGGCTTAATGGGTCCACATGGGTACACATGTGGCTTAATGGGTCCTAATGGGTCCAGGGTTCTCAAAACACGACTCACCTCCAGAGACAAAAGACAATCAGCCACCCTGACTAGATTTATGACTACATTTGAATTGAATTTAATGAGCAAATCACCCCTAATTTAACTTTTTTGCCATTAAATAGTTTGAATGAGTGTAGTAGTTCTGTAGACACATGTGGTCATTATTTGGGGGGTGTTACGCTGTGTGTGTGTGTGTGTGTGTGTGTGTGTGTGTGTGTGTGTGTGTGTGTGTGTGTGTGTGTGTGTGTGTGTGTGTGTGTGTGTGTGTGTGTGTGTGTGTGTGTGTGTGTGTGTGTGTGTGTGTATGCGAGTGCGTGTATGCGAGTGCGTGCGTGCGTGTGTGTCACTCACTCACTCACTGCAGACCCCCGAAGGTTCTCAGTCATCCAGGTTATGGTAATCCAAAGGGGTTCCAATGAAACCAAAGAAGTCCAGTTGCCTTCGTTCCAATCCTTTTGGACCTAAATAGAACCATCTGGAGAAATGTGTCATACATTTTTTTTCTGTTTATTAAGTTTTACCTGACATGCATGTTCTTGTTCAGTGGGAGGAACCCAAAGAACCGGAACAAAACCACTTGTGCAGGAGGGGGTGGGGGGGTAGAGCATGCCAACTCCATGCAGAAAGGCTGCAGCCGGGTTTTGAACTAATGACCTTAGTTCTGCGGGGCAGCAGTGCTACTGTCTGCGCCACCATGCAGCCAATCCGATTGTTTTACTCATCATTAGAAGCCAACATTTAATGCTTGTTTTTACAGCAGAATTAACGTAATAATTACAATTAACGATGAGCGGCTGTGACTCTCACTGCCTTCAAACATAAACCTCGACACAAACCAGCTGATTCAGCATCAAAGTACGAATCTGGAATATGACACTGGTTTGTCAGCAGAACGAAAATGAAATAAATAATTAATGTAATATTTTCTATCTGTTGTAATGTTTAGAAATACGCAAAAGAAATGATTAAACCCAACTTTGGACCCAGTTTTTTGCCCCAAACGAGTCCTCATTTCTTACAGAAAGGAGATCTTTAATGACAGAAGTGTAGCGAACCCATCTGGGGATAAACGAGATGAGAGGCGAGATTCTGGCTGTTAAACGAGCCTGCAGCTGTAATCTGTTGAAGCTTCCTTTGGCACCAGGCCCGGTTCTGGTCAGACCAGTTCTCCCAGCCCACATACAACTTCAAACACTCCTCGGATCCGTTGTTCCCACCACAGGAATCCAGCCGACACACTTCGGCTGAAAAGTTGTGTCTGAAAGCAGAATCGAAGCATTTTAATCAGCGAAGTCGGAACCGCAGCCGGGACCGGTTCTGCTCACCTGCGTGTAAATTACAGCAAAATTAAATAATTAGTTAAATCAAAGCTGGACAAACTGTGGGCTCCCGGATCACGCCCACTTCTAAACCGTCATCCATCATTTCATTTGTCGTTTGTTGGAAGGAAACACAGCAGTCTGCATGTCCTGCAGATTATAATTTATCATTCAGCAGATTAAAGTTTTCCAACAAAGACTGATGAATTAAATATGGAGCTGAGTGCAATGAGGGATTAATGTTATTCACCACCAGCAGGAGTGTTTGTTCTTTCATTTCTTTATTTATTTAATAGGGGCCGTGCATATTAATGAACTTCAACACTAAATTGCATCAGTAAATATGCCAGATTGTAGCACCGGTGCTAATTTACATCTGCAGTCCCTAGGCAGATAATAAAAGCGATAAAAGAAAGTAAAGAATTATATTTAAAACTAGGAAAAACAGAAAGAAAACACACAAAAACACCACTGTGAGGACAAATTACTGATGGATACAGGTTTGGTTTTCCTTCAACTATTGTTTAAGTTTGAATTTGAAGGAACTAGAGCTGCACAATATATCGCAAATATATCGTTATCGTGATTTCAGCACGCTCAATATGCATATCGCAAAGAACAGATAAATATCGTAATGAATGGTGAGCTCAAATGTTTGCTACACATGATGCGTTCTGTCAATCAAACAGAAGCATGATGTTTTTTTAACAAATCAAATAGAGCTCTTCACCCATTTGGCCAATCGGGTGGGTTCTCATAGGTCAGATGCCCGCCCCTGAGGCAGACGGCACTTAGCGAACACCTGAGTTAGCTTCGTTCTGCTCTTTCTGCTGATTCTGCTTTTCCCGGGATCCACTGATCGCCTTTTGTTCATTTTCTTTTTCCCTTTCCTCACATCTTTTGCTTTTCTCATTTTTAGGATTATTTTATTTCATTGTTTTTGATTATTTTTGTTCCGGAGTTAATTTTTATTTATCGCAAGTAATGTCGTCATCGCAATATTTACCACTTTTATCACATATCGCAGGTTTTTCTATTGTCGTGCAGCCCTAGAAGGAACTGTATGATTGTGAGTCTCTTATGCTGAGTGGTGGACTATTCCAGTATTTAGTCCCCTTAGCGGATAGCGTGGTCTTCTGCAGCGCAGATGAGCAGGATTAACGATGCAGTCGTGAATCCTAATCCACAGTTTAACCAGAATAAACGCAAACTCACTTCTTTGTTTCTGTTCTGGATGTTTAGGTTTGGTTTGACTCTGAGAACCAATAAGATCTCGGCTCTCTGCGATCGGCGGAGCAGGAGTTAATCTGAGCTAATCCAGTTGATCGATGACTAAAGGCTCTGAGAACGAGACGGGTGGGATGTTTATCGTTGTCTAACCGGCTGTAATCAGTTTATTTTTGTTTTCTGGTGAAAAGGATCAAGTTCAATTACTGAACCAACTCGACCGGCGAGGCGAGGCCCAGCACTTCCTGCTCAGTTTAATGTGACTGAGCAACTTCTTAAAAATGTAGTTTTGTTTTCTGTTTTTCTTCCTGTGAGGGAAGAACACGCTAACCACCATCAGCCTTTGTTTGTTTGTTTGTTTGTTTGAACCTGATTCAGCAGCTCTGCAGAAGCCCGATTTAAAATCAGGATGTAGCGAGTAAACGTTTCCCTCACCAGACAGACGAGTTCCTGTTCGATCAGCTGCCTGTTGACAAACGAAGACCATCAGAGCACCTGGGTCATCTCCACCTGGTTTCTGGTGTTTACGACGAGGCGATGATGATGAGGAGGAAGAGTTAGGTCTCCGCCCTGTAGCTGTTGTTCTTAGTGAGGAAGTGAAAGGGTTAGCATCAGATGGCGTGTTAGTTTTTACACACACCGATGCTGACGGGGGAAGTTATAAAAACGATTAAATGTGATTAAAGCATTTAAAACGATTCTAGCCCTGATAACTGACTGGTTTTGTTATGTTTTATGGTTTTTATAAATGTATTAGAAAATTTACAAATGGTCTTAATGCTTTTATTGTGAAATGTTTGAAATAATGAGTTTTCTTCACATTTTTTCAACCTTTACTTAACAAACCTGAGAATAAAACTCCTCTTGTTGTTAATAAAGTGCTGTGATCGTTTATAGATGACAGGAAAACGGCTGATTTGTGTCGTCGTCTTTCCGCAGCGTCGCTGGAGGTGAACTCTTCGACTTCCTGGCAGAGAAAGAGTCTCTGAGCGAAGAAGAAGCCACTCAGTTCCTGAAACAGATCCTGGACGGCGTCCTCTACCTGCACTCCAAACAAATCGCTCACTTCGACCTCAAGGTACGAACGTGATGATCGGATTTGGTCAAAAGGAAACATTACTAAATCGTGAAAACAGAATAGATGAATGAAAGCGTGTCTTAATTCTGTAGACCAGGGGTGTCGAACTCAAATTCACACGGGGCCGAAATGATAATCCGGGACGAAGTTGCGGGCCAAACTTAAAGGGACTTTACGTAGCTTTGAATTTTTATGCTCGCGATTGCCCCCTCAGGCCAAAAGCGTAACAGCAGCTTCAATAGCAGGCTCGTGCACGAGGCGCGCATGCTGTATATGCACACTCCTTAATGAAAATAACAGCTGAGATGGTCCCTTGTGTGTGTGTGTGTGTGTGTGTGTGTGTGTGTGTGTGTGTGTGTGTGTGTGTGTGTGTGTGTGTGTGTGTGTGTGTGTGTGTGTGTGTGTGTGTGTGTGTGTGTGTGTGTGTGTGTGTGTGTGTGTGTGTGTGTGTGTGTGTGTGTGTGTGTGTGTGTAAGATTAATGAAATAATTTGGTTCTGTACCTTTCTCTTCAGCACAGCCGACAAAGGTTTACGATGGGTCAGTCCTCCTGCATGCTCAGATCATTCCCTTCCCTTGCTTGAAAAATTGTTCCAAAATGAAAGTTGAACCCACATCTTTTTTATCTGTGAATTCAATGCCGTTCGGCGAGTCTCAAATAAAAATTTGGGCATCTTACTGTAAAAAAATATACCATTAATGTAAAAAAGAAACTCTAAATAAACTATGTTCACATCCAGAATCAAACCCAGGTCTTCTGCACGAGAGTCCGTCGTCTAACTAGGTGAACTAAAGCGCCAGTGACGTCCTTTGTATCTGTAACATTTATATCCTTGATGACAGCTGAAACATCAATCCAAAGAACGGTTCAGAGTGAAAATGGCTATTTTGTTGCTAATTTGCAGGAAATATCTAGAAGAAAGTTCTACAGAAAGTAGCTAAGGGTCCTCAGAAATGTAGCTAGCTTTGTCACTAGGCGTTAGGAACAGCGACAAAGTGGCACTGCCTCTCTCTCTGCTGCTAAAGCTACGGATAGCAAACGCTACGGGCGATGCCTGAGCGTGAACGCGCATGAAGCAGCCTGCTCGACCCGAGCATCTCTCTTTTTCTGTGATTTTACAGAAAAACAGGCAATCACAGTAAAAATGCCAGGGCTCATTCTACAGGACCAGGGCGTTGCAGGAGAATGTATGAAGAAGACATTTATTATTTCTATACATGTTTTGGCTGTCACACTTCCATAATGCCCCTTTAATATTTTTTGAAAAAGTGACGGCAAATTAGCACATTTTCTTTATCAACACATTTAGAACCTTTTAATTTGGAAACAAACATATTTTTGCATTAACAGTGAATGTGGAATAACCAAATTACACACGAGCAAGTCCATTTTAAATAAAACACATCAGTGGTATCATTACTTGTGGTATAATCAGCATTTTTTAAATCTATTCAGGATTTATGTTTTCTTGTTGTTATTTTTCTTATTTTTTATTCTCCTTTTTTCTCCTGTTATACGTGTCATCACTGCTGTGACGTCTAGCTTTCCCCACTGAGGAGCAATAAAGGGATTTTCTATTCTATTCATCTATCTGCAGCCTTTCCACTTCCTGTTTACTGTAGGTTAAATCTTTTCTCACGTGCCAACAACAAAATAAAATATCATTTTATCTTAAATGAAAATGCAACATCTCACCTGTTAACTTTCATGTTTTGGAGCAGAAAAAGAGCATAAAACCTAAATACTTAAAGCTCAGTTGGTCCACTGGTTTACTGTGATGCTCACCTGTTCCAGCCAGATACCTGCATCATGGGGTTGATCTGAGCTGAGGAGGAGACTCCTGTTGTTTTGTTCATCTTCATCATAATAATGACAACAGGTGCTCACATAGGTTTGTGCTGATGAACATGTCTGAGCAGCTGGACCACATTGTTGTGTGTCGGGGAGGAAAAATAAAAACTACAGCAGCCACAGAGTCATGCTGGTTTGAGCGTGTCGCTGCTCGCTGGAGTTATATCAGCTCTGTCTGGAAGTTAGTAGGAAAACTTTCTCTTTCAGTCGTGAACACATTACTGAGCGGTTAAAATCTCCGTTTCTCGGCTTCAACGTCGGTAAATAGCCGACGCTGAGTGAGAGGAGTGTTTAGTTTGTCCGAGACAGCGGAGCTGCAGACAAACACAAAGGAGTGGGCGCTTTGGCTCTGCGCTAACGCCGCAGAGCATCATGGGAGTTGTAGTCTTTGTGATAAAATCGTCCAGCGGGTCAGTTTTAATATATTTTTTATATTTATCTCGCGGGCCAAATAAAATGCTCCGCGGTGTCTGATACGTGCTGTAAATGTTCCAAAACACACCTGGTTTGTTCTTTACTGTCCCAATATTTTGTCTCAAGTTTTTGTTTTTCACATGTAGACGTACTTATTATCATTTTTGTTTTGTGTGAAGTCTAATTATTTCATTTAAATTTGCATCATGAACAGTTATTGAATTTTGTTCCTAAAGAATTATATAATGAATGATCCAAATTGTTGGTCACATGACCTAAACCAGGGCTGCCACAGGAGGAAGGTGGCATTTTAAAAAAGCTTGGAAATGCCAGAGATGCAGAGAAGGAAGAGGCTGGCGACGAGCATCAGCCAATGTTCACCACAAGTAAATGGTGATGAGATAATCTGAGATGGTGAACGCACCGACGCTGAAAAACCTGAAATTTTCCCCAGTCTGTGAACTCACCAAGCACTGATTGATGCAAGCAGACCTCCAACGTCCAACCTTTTTACTTCCAGCGTCGTTACTTTGAAGAGTCGTGAGTTAATGGGGTTGTGTTGGTTCTCTGGTTGGACCATAAGCTAAAGCTGGTGTGAGCACAATAAGAGTGAGGTGAGGTGTAAGGACTGATTCTAGTTACTCGTACTTCAGGGAAAGAGATTTTAAGTTTTTTTTTTTTTTTTTGGCGGTGTCCTACCAGCTTCCTGTCCATGGTCCTCTGAGAACTCCTGGTTACCAGGAACAGATCCGGGATCAGAGATCTTGGCTGAGTTGATCAGCGTGGAGTCGAGCAAGTCACCCCCAAATTAACTTCTTTTTGCTGATAAACTATATAAATGAGTGTCTAGTCGTGCTGCAGACAGGTGTAGTCAATAGTTTGACGCTTTGGTGCATCTTGGTTAATAAAAATTTTCTGACTAAAACTGTCAGTGTTGCGCCCTCTTCAGGTAAAAACTCTGCACTGCATTTGAATTTAAATCTGCCATCACTATTGGCTAAGAGGTACCCTAGAATGTTAGCTGATACCATATGATGTCACAATGTCATTGTGAGCCTGTGTGTGTGTATTTGTTAGTGGCTGCGCCCTCTTAGTCTGCCAGGCAACAGCATTTGTTGCATTTTTCAAACAGGAAGTGGGAGTGGCGTAAGATTCATCGCACAATTCCGGTGCCCCCCGGTCCTGGTCTGGTGAAACCATAGACATGAATATGTAGATGCCCCATTGGACACTGGAAAGCGTAGCAGCGTTGCCGCCATATTGGATGGGTCCTTCACTCTCCAAACTCAACTAGAGTCTACACAGGATGAGCAACTGTAACAACCAGTGCACTATTGAAAACCAATCATGTGGGACTAATAAGGACTGTTCTAGCCTACCTGTTGGGATTTTATATTTTTGTTTACTTTAATTTATCTTAATATAGTTGCCATGCCATATGTCTGACTTAAATGAGTAAGCACCTTCCTCAGGTAAAATAAATGTACTGGGGAGTGACTGGAGACCCATCCAAGATGGCAGCTGGTCACTATGGAAGCTCCAGTTGACGGCCCCAGTCCACGGGGCATCTACATATATGATGTCTGTGGCTGAAGCCGTCACTGATTACGGGTTCCTGCCAGGCTTTTTCTGGTTTTTATAAACACCATTTTTATTTTCCAGTTCAGATTATTTTTTCTCTCAATCCTCTTTTAGCCGGAGAACATCATGCTGCTGAACCGCTCAGTGCCTCACCCGCGCATCAAGATCATCGACTTCGGACTCGCCCACAAGATCGATTTTGGCAACGATTTCAAAAACATCTTTGGAACTCCGGAGTTTGTAGGTCAGCATTTTATCTTTTTTATCATCATTTGTTTAGCAGATGTTTGTGACACACACACACACACCACACACACACACACGCACACACACACACCCCATTTTCTGGCTTCACCCCAGATATCTCGCGTTATTAGAGCAGGTGCCAGCTGGGCCAAAGGGAGACCTGATAATAGACCAGAGATTGTGAGAAATGGCCCATGTTGCCAACACACACACACGCACGCACGCACGCACGCACACACACACACACACACACACACACACACACACACACACACACACACACAGGCCATCTGCCCTTTCCTGGGGCAGCTGCCAGCCTCCAACAGCGTCACCCAGGCGTGCAGGTCCGTCCAGAACCTGCTAAAGGTTAAATGTTTGATCATCAGCAGATTTAATAAAGATCCACAGCTGACGTTGGACTGAAGCGGGCTTGGGTTTGGTTCTGGTTCTGCAGACTCAACATGAAGGTCGTTTCTGTGGTTTGGTCCATTTAGCAGAACGGTCCCGGTTCCCCAGAGAGGTTCTGATGCTCGACTGAGGAAGAAATTACACCCACCAACATTTAATTGCTGCGATTTGCATCAAAATCAAACCACAAAAAACATCAAACCTGACCACATTTTTACTAAATCACTTCAGAAATAAACACGAATTAAACTAAAACACACTTCAAATGTTTTTCCAACATGTTTGACTCAAACTAAACAAATGAAATGAATTATTTATTTTAGCAATTTTTTTTATTCTGAAGCTACTGTTAACGTATAACTAATTGTAAGGTGAGTTAATAACAACAATAATAACAGTAATACTTATTATTATTATTATAACAACAAAAACATTAATATTATTAATAATTATCATAACAATAATTATAAAAAGTATAACAACAATAATATTAAAAATAATAATCATTCTAATAACAACAATAACATTAATAATATTATTAATGATTATATTAACAATAATAATAGTTATTATAATAACAACAAAAACATTAATATTATTAATAATTATAATAACTATAATAATATTCATTATAATAACATAATAATTATTATTATTACTATTATAACAATAACATTAATATTAATAATTATAATTATAACAACAAAACAGTAATATTATATTAATAACACTAATAATAAATATTGTCAATTTCTTTTCTTTATGTTCAAACATTTGTTTTTATCAGACGTTTTTTCAGATGAGCTGTTTTTCGTTGGAGTTCAGTCCTCCATGATCCGCGTCATTAACCCGCTGGTTAAATAGGTTACTAATCTACTGATTATGATGTGTTTATAGAAGTTAACTTTTTATTATCCTTACAGCAAACTGAGGCATAACTTCCTCATGTGGTGCCAAATTATGAAACCACATAAGCAGAAAGAATATTTATTTATTTATTTATTTATTGTTAATACATTTCACTATAATTTTCTCTGTATTTACTGTATATTGGTTTATAATTGGTATAAAATGTGATATAAAAATGTTGATGTGATATTTGATGAAATTCATACTCTTAAAATAAATTATAACAAAATATATTTAAATACATTTGAAATATTGAATTAGTTGTGAACAATAAGAACAATTTTTATGTTCTTGAGCAAAAAGAGATGAACCGATTCTCAGCTCCGATCTCTTTTTTTTATCTAAAAGAGAAATAAGCATCATAATAAAAGCCAATAAATCCATAAAAAATCATTTTCTTCAACATTTAAAGATAAAAACTACCAGAAGTAAAACTCATTCTGTAAACCCTGAAAGATGCGCCACACATCAAAGGTTTATCGATACTTTAACTTGACATTAACCGAAGGAATCGGCGGTTTTTATCATCATAGCTGGAATCGTTTTTTTCTGTCACCAATCAGCAAACTTTAAACACGACATCAAAGGTAAAACCTGTAAAACAGAACCAAACTAAAAGCAAAGTTGGGTGTGAATAATGAAAATCTTCCCATTTTAATTGGTTTTCCAGCTCCAGAAGTGGTGAACTACGAGTCTTTAGGCCTGGAGGCCGACATGTGGTGAGTAAATAAACAATAACAACAACAACCTGACCTCAGATCAGTTTCATGATGATGAATTCTCTCCTGTTTCTGTGTTCAGGAGCATCGGGGTCATCACCTACATCCTGTAAGTAGCCGTCCCACTTCCTGCTGATAAACTCTCACGTATGGGGGACCCATTTGCCCTTTGACCTTTCTATACGGCCGAATTTACTCAAGTTTTGTTGCACTCTGGTCATTAAGTTAGGAGTTTTTACCAAGTTTACTTTTGGGTTGCCGGTTAAATTCCTTAAATAAGCAGAAGTTCTGAGTGCATTCCTATGAATGCAAAATTACAAGAGCGACTCCTGACCAATGCTTTTATCATCCCTAAAGCAAACCGAATAACAACTTCCTTTGAACCCCTTTCACAATAAGAGCTCAACATTTAAAGATCTGAAGCTCTTAGCGGTGATGTAGGGTCTCCTGCCTTCCTCTGCGTTGATGCTGGGTGCTTCATGGCTTCATCCTGCTGACTGGAACCAGTTCCTTTGTTAGATAAACGGCTGAACGGGTCAAATGATGAAAGAGGAGTAAAACCAAAGAGCTGCAGAGACGCTGCTGGCTGAGGGAGCGTGTTTTTGCACATTTTCTACATATTTCTAAAATAATGTGACAAACAATCAGGATGTAAAACTTTGCGAGGTGGATTTTAGAAGGTGAAAGTGTAGCTGACTCATGGCTGCAGCTGCAAACCTCACGAGGAGCACAACGCGTCATTTCCTACGAACACAACATGAAACATCATCTACATACAGTAAGCATGATCCTGATGCGTGCCCGTGCTTTCTGCCCACACGGATGTCAGAGCTCTGCCACGCGCTGCAGGAAATAGACCGTTCCCTTCGGGAAACTCTGGATAAACCCGTCTTCAGGAACAGAAGCTGACCTTTTTACCCGCAGATCGTCTCCTGGTGGTTTCGGGGTAGAACAGAGCTTTTGTTTGTGGGCCGCAGCCTGACCTGCACCACCTCCACGTCCCTCCCAGCTGACGGCGTAATTAGCCGTTTGAGCTGATGAGCTGCGGTTTTCGTGCCGTTTGGTGTAACGAGCCTTCAGGGCTCCGAGCTGCTGCCCCTGCTTATGTCCAGTGTGTGAAATCAGTGGAAAGTGGTAAAAATGCACAAAGATTCCTGCATCCAGATGTGGAGCATCCCGCTGCTTTCCTGTGAATAAACAGTGGGTTCTGATTACAGAACTGGATTTATGAGTCACCATTAGCTGCTGTAATCTGGTTTTAGTCTGCTCTAGACTGGAGTTTATTGGCAGATTAATGGTGTTGGGATTACAACCTATTGATCCTTTTCCCTTTGACTGGAAAACCTGCTGCTGCTGCCAGCCCTGATCATGGATTAAAACAAAGTTTAAGGAGATTTCAGGTCATTTAGAACTTTTCTTGATGACTTGTTTGTTTTTGTGCCCTTCCTGCAGCCTGAGTGGTGCTTCTCCCTTTCTGGGTGACAACAAACAGGAGACGCTGGCCAACGTGTCAGCTGTGGATTACACGTTTGACGAGGAGTTCTTCAGCAGCACCAGCGTCCTGGCCAAAGACTTCATCGCTCGGCTCCTCGTCAAAGACCCAAAGTACGTCGCTGCTGGTGTCTTCTGATGGAGATCAAATCCCTGGAAGATCAGTGATTTAAAGAGATTATGAAAGATTACACGCTTTTGCCTTTTTGCCTCTTAGAGATTCAGATCCGTCAGAAATAACCTGAGATTCTATTTTTAGCGAGCTGATGTCTCCGACCCAACCTTTAGTTCTCAGATATGAACGAGCACACGCAGATGTTGGTATTAGGAAACTAAAAAGCAACTGATGTGGGTTTTCTGTTGCTGATACCGATGCAGATTTTCTGGGACGATTTTCCTCTGGATGTTTTCCACCTTTCTGAACGATGAAAGGTGACGCCAATAACAGCTGATGCACAGCATTTCTGAACCTAACAAACACTTAACAACTAGCGATGGGTACCGAATTCGGTACTTTTTAAGGTACCGACCGAATTCCACAGTACCGACTGAGCACCGATTCACGTCATTTGAAACGGTGCCTCGTTTCGGTACCCGTCCTTCATAACGAGAACTTGCCTAGACAGCTGCGCATGCGCAAGAGCGCTATGTCGTCGGTCCCTGCGAGAGAGTTGTAAACAGAGCAGCATGGTAGAAAGAACGCATGCTAAAGCTTGGGTCCACTTCACTAAATGTGATGGGTAACTGGGTGATGATGAAACCAGCGACAACGATCTAAGTGAGACATCCTCATCTTAATCTGCTCTGGTAGGTAAATAAAATGTTTAAGAAAACGTTAGCTTGATATGTTAGCTTCCGTTTCGCTAATGGTGCGTTCGCTTTCTCCTCGGAACTCCGGATTTCCGACTAGAAGAACATGAACGCGCTCTAAAGTTTGGCTTCACTTTACTAAATGTGACGGGTGATTGGGTGAAGATGAAACCAGCGACAGCGACCTAAGTGTGAGGCATCATCGTTTTAATCTGCTCCAGCAGCTAAATAAACTGTTTAAGATAACGTTAGCTTGATATGTTAGCTTCCATTGCCACCATTGTTATCAGCTAATGGTGCGTTCGCTTTCTCCTCGGAAATTCTAACTTCCCAGTAGGAAAAATCAAATGAAAAAAGACGGCAAAAGGAATGAAGATACACAGTAAATTTAGTTCACAGTAAAGATGTTTGCTTCAGTTTAATTATCAGCTTATAAAACTACAAGGACGATGTTAAAATACAAACAGTTGTATGTTATTTATCGTGAAATTTATCAAATATGGTTATAAATTGAAAAAAAAAATTTAATAATAAAAGAGAATTAAAATATTAAACACTCAAAAGTATCGAAAATTGGTACCGTTAAGTACCGGTATCGATTCCTAGGTACCGGGAATTAGTACCGAATGGATTCAAATGTCAAAGGTACCCATCCCTATTAACAACCAACTGTTTTACATTCAAACATTTAACCAAAGTTTATCAAGCAAATCAACAAACTGACCAAGTATTGAACATAAAACACAAATTTCAGTTGACAAAGATTTTTCTGAGCATTTATTAAACAGATGTTTTTCAGGAACGTATCATTTACATTTGAATAAAACCGGACAGCAGCTCACAGCTGCCCGCAGATTAAAACGACATTAAAACGGCTCGACCAAAGAGGCGTGTCAGCAGTTGCGATACATAAATAATGGTAAAAACTGGCCTGAAATATCAGTCTGTCCCTATTTTAGTGACAGTTTCTAAAGAAAATCACCTGTTTAAGTCTCATCATGTGACGACTAATGGAATTCTCTCCTCGTTAAAACGGGACTTTAGTTATTTTATTCCATCCGCTCGGCTTGCAGAGGATTTTTCAAACAACGTTCCAGACGAGGCCCTCTTGTTGCTTGGTAAAGTGTCCTTTGGCACCGCTTCCTAAAATTGTTCCGACTGTGTCTGTCGCTCGTTAGCGTTCCTCCGGCAACAGCTGAATGGCTGAAGCTGCACTTAGAGAGACGAACCGCCATCAGAACCTTTTGTTTTCTCCCTTTAGTTACTCGCTTTTACTTCAGAGTGATAAAGAGGGTTGGAAAGTGAAAATGTGTGTTGGTGATGGATTCAGGAAGCAGAGAGACACTTAAGGGTGAAGGAGACGCCTTAATCAATCAAGAAACCATCTTAATACACAGAAACTTCTTCAGGATCCAAATGTTTCACCAGGAGAGACGGCTCCTCTCAGCAGGAAGTAAACAAACTATTAATGTTTGTTAAAATACTCGTAAGACATCAGAACAGTACTGCCAGAGTAACCGTGGAGCATAAAAACTCTGGTGCACCTGTTTCAGGAACTAGAAGTGAGCCAGATCAGAGCTGAGCAGAACTCGGCAGGATTTAGTCTTACTTCCCGATATGTGGACGTCTCTCCTCTGATTGGCTAACAGCAACACAACTCTACCACGGACTCTGTTTGCTCTGCAACGTTGATGTTTTATCTCCACAAATAACACAAGCCTGGAGGAGTTCTGCTGTATGGTGGATTGCTAATGCTAACAGTTAGCTTCTACTAGCGGAGACGTTCTCTGCTGGACTAAACCAACAACAGCCTTCCCCGTCGTGAGTCCAGATGGGTGAGTCCATGAATATTAAGTGACAGTGTGACGTAGATCTGTCAGGATTTTCTAATCCTAGAGTTTCACCGTCTGTTTTCTATCAGAAGCTACTGCAGGAGATAGATGTAGGAGACTATTCTCACGTTCAGCCTGCATGAAACACTCAGAGGGACCCGTTAGAATCAGAGATAATCACTAAAAAGGGTTTTTCAGTGAGATGCCACTTTAAGATGCGGACCCTACTCATACTAGCTGTTAGCTCATCAATCACAATAGGCCCTACACCTTTTTAAACGCATTTCAGGCAAAGACAGCTTAAAAACACTCCCCTTTCAGGCTAACTTCCTACCATTTCTACATCCATTAACAGGTTAGTTCTGCTTCTATCAGACGAGGGGAAATAAAGACTTGGATGCTTGAGTTTAGGTTCATAAAAACTCTAATAATGTTTTATTGTGATGTTTTAGTAGCTCAAACATTCCACAGCTGGGAAGTTGCCTTATCCATTGTTATCCGGTGGAATAAAAACAGAAGTGCCATAAAAATATATTCAAACATCTTTTGATATTTAAAGTTGCTGCATGGCGGCGCAGTTGTTGACGCTGCTGTCTCGCAGCAAGAAGGTTGCAGGTTCGAAACTCTGCTGTGGCCTTTCTGCGTGGACTTGCACGTTCTCCCCATGCATGCGTGGGTTTCCTCCGGGTTCTCCGGTCTCCCCCACAGATCACAACACGCCCTGTCGGTTAACAACTGTACGTCGCTTTGGATGAAAGCGTCTGCCTCATAAATAAACATAAAGGGAAAAATTCAAATATAAATGTACGCGTCTAGCCAGAGAGTGAACCCACTGGTTGGGATTCATGCAGCCATAAAACCGGAATGTTGCTCCTCGTTCAGCAGAGCAGCGCTGCCCTCCGTATCGGCCCTCTGGGCCAGAATTTACCAGCTCAGTGGCCTAGTGGTAGAGTGTCCGCCCTGGAACTGGAAGGTCGGGGTTCGATTCCCGGTCAGGTCAATTAATCAGATTTATTTATAAAGCGCGTTTCAAACAAAGTGCTTTACAAAATGACCCCAGATTCCCATAACAGGATTAAATACATAAACAGACATATGCAAGCACACACACACGCACGCACGCACACGCATGCACACACACAAGTAAAATTTATATTTGGCTGAGTCCAGATGAGTCAAGTAAGGTAAGGCAAGGAAACGCCATCAGAGGAGCCGTCTGCCCCGGCAGCATCAGGTCTTCCACACCAAGTCAGGGCGCTCAGTGGAGGGGGAGCATAGACCCCCACCTATAGAGCGCCCAGGAAGCTACAGTCGACCACCGCTCCCGGGGCAGAGGGCCCCCACAGAGGAAACACTGGATTAAAATGAGTAAAAATGTTATAAAAGAGCTAATATAAGGGACAAAATTTAGAAAATAAGTAATCAATAAAATCATATAGACAGTAAAATAATAATATTAAATAATGAAAACAATGCTAAAATATAATCATTAAAACATGCAAAGCAAGCAATAAAATACAATCATGTAAAACGAGAAATAAAACTGTAGTAACTATTTAGATAAAAGCTAACCTAAATAGGTGGGTCTTGAGCCTGGACTTAAAAACATGAACGTTCTCTGCGGCAGGTCACACCAGAGACTCTAAAAATGGGACGTAACGCCTCCCTCCTTGTCGCTCAGCTTTAAGGGGTTGGATTGGGGGGTTAAACCACCAAATGGCTCCCGAGTGCAGCCACTGCTGCAGCTCACGGCTCCCCGTGGGGGTGGGCCAAGTACGGAGAACAAATGTCACACACACCAGTGTGTGTGACAACTATGGGACTTTGGATCGGTGCACTTTGTTTGACGCTGTGACAAAAGAAGCTGGTTTTTAACACAATAACTTTTACTTTGATGGTGCCAGGGAGTCCAATAATAGAATAGTTGGTGTGTAAATGATCACCGATGTCCTGGAAACTCCTTAAAACTACCGTGTGACAGCCGAATTAATCCGATCCGGGTTTATTGTAACTTAAACTTTTCGTGTCTTTGTCCCAGACGGAGAATGACGATCCAGGACACGCTGCAGCATCCCTGGATCAAGGTCGGGCTTTATCTGAAACACTCGTTATTCTGTCAGCTGTAAAGAATGTCTTGTTTCAGGAGTTCAGTTAATATTTCAAATGTTTTTGTTTCATTCTGTTTGTAAATCAGCCCAAAGACACCCAACAGGCTCTGAGCAGGAAGGAGTCGGCCGTCAACATGGAGAAGTTTAAGAAGTTTGCCGCTCGGAGGAAATGGAAGGTGACGACTTTCCTTTATGAAAAGCAGTTTGTTTACCGACAGAAACTCGGATGTGTGTGGATTTAGCTTCTGATTCCTGCTGACGTTTCATTTCACTTAGAAAAATGCTTCCAGATGTTTCTCCTGCTTTGTGAACTCACCGTTGGTCACTGACATTTATAGAGATTTTGAGTTAGATTGGCGTTTGGGTATCGCTCCTCAGAACCAGAATCGGTGCTTTTTTCCTAGATTTCATGGTTTCTGTTTCGGAATTAGAATTTTTTCGGCCCCCAACGCAACCTTGAATTTAGTCTCTCTTGCAACAATGCTGCAAACGTAGACTCATCATCACCGTCCTCTCACAGGGGGGTGGGAGGTAATCCGCACCAGATCAGCTTCATAGTTCCCATCAAGGCTCGTGGCTGCTGATCCTATTTGGGCCTGGTTCTGTAATGAACACCTTCCTACTGGTTCTGATGTGGTTCTGGAGTCGACTCGCACTCTCAGGCTTAAGGAGCTGGATGGAAATGGAGCAGAAAATCGTCTCTGTGCTCACCCGTCTGGCTGCTGATGGCCTTACTAACCCGACCTGACGTGAACTTGATCTGCTCGTGCTTGAACCAACCAACGCTCCTCTCCTCTCCTCTGTTCTGTTCTGCAGCAATCCGTCCGACTCATCTCTTTATGTAACCGCCTGTCTCGCTCCTTCCTGTCCAGGAGCAACATAAGTGTGGCGCGCAGCGACGACACGCTGGTAAGACCCGCATCTCCGCTGCTTCATTTGCTTAAACATTCAGATGAAACAAAAAGTCATGTGAGCACCGGAAGGGCCGAGCCTTTCAGCAGCATCACGGCTCCGATCTTAATCCACATTCCTCCATTTCATTGTGTCTGCAGCCTGAAACACCATCAGGGTATTAGGTTACACCTGCTGCAGGTACCTCCATCCCTCTAGCTGTAGAGGCTACCTACTCTACAGGGCTGCAGTACTCCAGGGTTTAACAGGAAGTTGGACAGCTAACTGAGTTCCAGTTTCCTCTCGCTGATGTAATTTGGGCTCGTTAGGACCCTCAGCTGCAGCTCTGGGATTTCCATCCTGGTAATCTTCTCGAGGATCTCCAGCTGCTCGGTAACCGATCTGATCCTCATTTCCTGCTGCAGCTGACGGTTGGCTGAAGCTCCAGAGTTTCCAAAAGCAGGTTGAGCTTCAGGAATGTGACTCATGTGGCTGAACAACGAGCTGCAGCACTGTTTAATGAGTAAAGAGACAGAAAGGGAAGTTTAATCATTAACTAAACGGTGAGGCCAGGTGACTCAGGTGAGACATGCGGCGCCTCCTGTGGTCGACAGGTTGACCTACACGTGCTTGTCCGGTCAGGGTTAACTCGTAAGACTCGGCTCGGAGGAGGCAGCTGTAAGTGTTCAGCAGTTAAAAGGAAAATATTCATAATTAAACTGGAAGATTGTGCTTGTTGTTATAATTGTGGTAATACTTTACAATAAAGGTTAATTTATTAATATTACTTAGTGCATTATTAAGCATTAATAAACTATTTAGTAAAGTGTTAACAGTATAAACATTTTTTTTCTGTATAATTAAGCTTAATTAATTCAGAGCCCAGAGGGTCCAGACCAGGCCAGCTGTTTTAGACCCAAACTAAAGCTGTCAAAAGAAACTTTAAAAGCTTTTACAGAAGGATTACTTCATAAATTACCAGTGGTTCTGTCCAGGAGCTCCATGATAGACCAAGTCCAACACGAGGAGAATTCAGCCCCGTAATCCGGAACAGGTCGTCTGTTTCTGAAAGCAAGGCTGATTTAGAGATAAATGACTGCATCATCTGCATAGAAGGGCAGAATTTAGAGTAATTGAGACGTTCAGTGTGAGATCATTAAAGTAGATGCTTAACAGCATTGGTCCAAGTACTAAACCTTGTGGAACGCATGTTCAGCTATAAAGTGAGCTAGAAATGAAAGCCTCTCTCTGCCTCCTGACAAGAGTTTTTATATCGGTCACCGTTTCAGATGTGGATTGTGTTTTCTGGTTTAGTTTTTTTTTTTTTTTTTAAAGCTAATTCTGATTTAAAACACCGTAAACAGCTGAAGTACTTTATATTCAGAGTCAGAAACAATGTTTTTATTAAAGGAAAACTTGTTTATTTTTGTTTTCGAGGCTCTCTGAGTAGCTTTCCTGATCTCCTCCTCTTCATCTCGGTGAGGAAGACTTGATCAGATTTTTCTTGAAGCTGCAGAAGAAAATAACGCATCGGTGTGTGAGGAATGAAAGCGGGAATCTTTCCCTTGTAGGATGAGGAGGACTCCTTTGTGATGAAGGCCATCATCCACGCCATCAACGACGACAACGTTCCGGGTCTGCAGCATCTACTCGGATCGCTGAACAGTTACGACGTAAACCAGCCAAACAAGGTGAAGACTTCCTGTTTCATCTTTCTACTTCCTGTTAGTCGGGAACAATGGTTGCTTCAGCTTTTTAAGAGTTTTAGGTTTCAAACCTGCAAGACAACTAAAGGAAACTCCCAAAATCATCCAGTCACACAATAAAATGAATAAATCTGTTAAAATAAATAAAAAAGCTCATTTTTCTTTATTACAAAGGAAAATCCTCTCATTTTTAACGTCGCTGTGACTCGGAATCTGTTTTTAGATTTTAGCCAATCTGACGATTTAATGATCATTAGAATATTTAGAAACCAAAGTTTATGCTTTTCTTTTCCTGTAAATGTGACCTAAAGGATGAATAATTATTTTTTTCTGTCCCGAGAGTCTCGATGAGGTCATGAACACCTGTACCTGTGTTTCTGCAGCATGGGACGCCTCCGCTGCTGATCGCTGCCGGCTGCGGAAACGTTCAGATCATCGAGGTGCTGATGAGAAAAGGAGCTGACATCCAGGCTAACGACAAGGTGAGAGCTGGTTGTGGGTCCGAATCCCTGCCGGGGAGTTTATTAAACTCAAGGTTTTTATTCTGATCTTTGTGTTTGGGTGAAATCACTTCCTGTCGGTTCCTTATCAGCTCCTAAAACCGGCCGGCAGCATTTTAATGGTTGTGTAGATGGCCGTTTGAACAACCTCAGTTTGGAGAAACAGAGATTTGTTCAGATGGAGTCGATAAAAAGGATTTCTGCCGCCTTAAGACAAGAATAATCTAAAAAGACGAATCTTCTAAACTTTACTCATGCATTGCACATGAAATCATTACCTACATTCAGGCTCCGCCCACATTACTCCAGATATTAAAAATGATTTTTGGTGAGATGAACTTTTGGGGACTGTATCTTTAGTTAAAACGTTTTTGTTATCCGAGTTTTTATTTTACTTCTGAAGTTAGGAACTCAAAGCAAGGATAGAGAACGTTGGTAAAGTGAACGCAGATTAGAATTATTCTAGAACGTTTCGTAAAAGGCCTCGTGGTGGCTAGCCCTACAGGCTAGCCTCTCTATTCTCCGTTTCTCTAAGCTAGGGGTGCCCAATGCTGGTCATCGAGGGCCGGTATCCAGCATGTTTTAGTTTTAATTCTGCTTCAACACACCTCATTGCAATCAGCAGGTGATTAACATGCTTCTACAGTGCCTGATGAGCTGCGGCACAGGTGATTCAACCAGTTAATCAAGTGTGTTGGAGCAGAAAAACCACAAAACCTGCTGGATACCGGCCCTCCAGGACCAGGATTGGGCACCCCTGCTCTAAGCTGAGGCTGGGCGTTTATATGGTTTCCACCTCAGGAGATCTGAGCCGTCCCTTTAAGAAACAGCTGAGCTGTGGAGATAACTGACGTGTAAATGAACGCACCGCGTTAACGGTAACCACAGCAACGCTAGCGACCCACAGCGAGCTCGTTGGGGATGAAAGTCGGGGATAAAAGCTGCAATGCTGTGTGTGAACTTTCAGACTGGAGCCAACGCCGTCTACCACGCCGCACGCCACGGTCACGTGGACACCCTCAGATTCCTGCACGACAACAGATGTCCTCTGGACGTCCAAGATAAGGTGAGTCACACATTCACGCTCAGGTTTCACACACACCTGAGCAGAAGACAAAGCCAGCGTGTTCTTTTGATGTTTTATCAGCTTATGTGCTGTTGCTATGGAAACGGTTCTTGCAGAGAAAGATTCGATGATGGAGCGTGCCTCAGCGTTTTTATTGAGTCCGAGCTGCTGTCTGCTACGAAAAGACCTCCTTCCCATCCCCTTAAGGGTTCTCGTTTACGGTCAGCCGAGGAGTCTCAGAGTTTTCTTGCAACCACACGGAGGAGAGCCGAGGAGCTGATTTGGTTTTAGGCTCATTAGTTGATTAAATAGATTTATGAGGGACTTTTACCTCCTGATGCATCCATTAGGTTTTATTTTAAGTGTCTCCAGTTGTTTTCTTCAGACTCCTCTCTCCAACAAGCTGCTCCTCTTCCCAGCAGGCGGATCGATTTCTGAAGACATCCAAACACGAGGAGTAAAATCCTAACGTCTTGTTTAAGAATAAAGTTTCTGAATAAACTTTGCGTTTTTATTCTCTTGCTGAAGCTGTTTTTTTTACCTGCAAAGCCAGCAGAACCTGTTCTTCTAACTGGTTGTGGTTCTCCTCCAGTGTGGGGAAACGGCTCTGCATGTGGCAGCTCGCTATGGCAACGTGGATGTGGTGAGCTACCTGTGCAGCATTCGGTCCAACCCGAACCTCACGGACCTGGTCGGTTCCCGTTCTCCTCTTACAGAAGAATAACAGCAAGACACGTTAGATCCAGATGTTTTTTGTGTGTTTGTGTCTCCAGGAAAAGGAGACCCCGCTGCACTGTGCAGCTTGGCATGGCTACTCTGCTGTGGCCCGAGCACTCTGCCAGGCGGGATGCCTTGTAGATGCTAAGAACCGGGATGGCGAGACTCCGCTCCTGACTGCATCTGCTCGTGGCTTCGTGGACATTGTGGAGTGTCTGGTGGAACACCAGGCAGATCTAGAAGCTAGAGACAAGGTGGTCGCTCTGGAAATGTTGTTTTTGTGGAAACAGGACATGCAGACGTGCCATTTTATCTCATTTCTGTAGCATCTGCAGCCTGGATGACCTTCTGGGGTCCTCTGGAGGCTGTGCTGGAGCTCCATTACAGTCAGAACTCTGGATCAGCTATATCAGACACATTTCAGAGGTTTTGGGTCATAACCCTGTTAAAGCGTTCGGTTGTTCCTCGCGTCATTTGTAACAACTACAGACTGAGTTTCCACACAACAGCTGGTAGTTCAGATTAGTGGCGTGAATGTGATGTAAAGAACTAGAGATGCACCAAAAGCAGCAGGATGGGTTCAATACAACACGAATACTTTAGTCATCATAGTGAATAAATACAGTAAACCATCAACAAGTCTGACAGGTCACACAAACTCGAGGGCAGAAATGAGCAGAATTGAAGTCTGATTGACCTCTGACCTGTCAGTAACGTTTTGGTGCGTTTGCATCTCAGGACGACCACACGGCGCTCCATCTGGCCGTACGGAGGTGTCAGGTGGAGGTCGTCCGCTGCCTCATCAGACATCACTGCCACCTGGACCAACAGGATCGCCATGGCAACACGCCGCTGCACATCGCATGTAACGATGGGAACCTGCCCATCGTCATGGCGATATGCGACGCCAAGGCTAGCCTGGATCTGCCCAATAAGGTGAGGTGCTCCTGTGTTCTGGAATAAAAACATAAAAAACTTTATGATTTCTGCTCTGAACGTCCTCCGGGAAGAGTCGTTCCTGACCCTCAGAGTTCAGCCCGATCCAGCAGAACCGAGTCAGCAAAAACAAACAGAAAATTCTGCTGTAGAGCTCCTTAGGGAATATGCACAGCTTACATATATAATACATGTAAGTACAGAGAAAATAAGATGATAGGAAACCAGAAACAGGAAGAGGTCCTAAAGCAGAGCCCTGTGGTATTCCTAATGCTGGTTTCTCCTGGTTTAGCTGAACTGCTCCTTTAACCTCAGATTCCTACTAAACTCTTTCTCTTCCTGCTGCTGATTTAAATGTGTTCAGCTGCGGAACGGCGTCTCCCAGAACCGGTCGTGTGAATCCGGATTGAGCGGTTCTGCCAGATACGCGGTGATTTATCACTCCCTGCCGAGTCCGTGTCTGGATTGGTCTCCTCTGTCGGGGCAACGCCGGGCAGAAAAACACAAATGGATTTAAAATAAGTTCACGGGAGAGCAGAATAAGAGTTTTTTTTTATTAAACTACAGGAAATGGCAGGTTTTATTGGGATTTGCTTTACAGGAATGGAAGGTAAAACGCTGAGTCACTATTTCAGTGGTACCACATAGGTGCCTCACTCTGACATTTTTGGAACAGCTTGTTCATGTCTTGGTTCTGTTGGATTCTGTTTTCCCAGTACGGCAGAACTGCGATCCACCTGGCCGCTAACAACGGGAACCTGGAGGTTGTCCGCCATCTCTGCCTGTCCGGAGCAAACATCGACGCCGTTACAAACGTGAGGAGACTTCTGGTCCTTCTGGGTGTCTGATGATCAGAACCAAGTTTGTTTCCTGTCTGTCTGCTAAGCTAATGCTCAAATTAATATTCGAATAAACATCTGCAAACAATTCAAGATGGCTGCAAAAGCTAATCATCGTTAGCAAACGCAAACGCGTGTCCGTCAGCTTCACAGATATGAGCTACGGTGTGAGGAGTTGGTAGCCGAGAGTCGATCCGTTTACACGGAACAAACATGAAATAATGACTTGAGAGTTTGAGATGTTGTTTGTTCCTTTGTTATTTATTAGAACATTTACTTTCAGAAGAAGCTGTTGACATTTCACGTCCAAATGGAAACCATCTTCCCGTTTGTTTAAACGATGACTCAACGAGGGCTATTCATTTTCCGCTTGAGCTGTGACGAGTCTGAGAGCAGAAATGAATTGTTGTCTCAACCGTTCGGAAGCGGGTCCCTGAGGCGGATCTTCCTGCTCTTTGCTGATTCTGTGGATTGAGTTTGGGTCGTGTTTAAGCTTGGTTTATGCTTGACGCGTCCGCGAGGTTCGCACGGCTCCACGCGGCGAAATTACGTCATTTTAACAACCTCGCCCCTCCACCGCGCCTTCGCACGGCCCAGAATTTCCGCACCGCGCACCTAGGAAATTTTCTGACCACGCGGACGGTTGGACGTGGAAAAACATGGCGGATTGGCAAGAACTAGTATGGCAGAGGTTCGCAAATACAGACATTTGTATGATTCAGCTCTCAGAAATCACCGTGAACAACATGTTGTTAATAATTCTTGGAGAGAAATAGCTCGCACTATCGGAAAAGACGAGGACGCTGTAAAAAATGCTGGAATGCCATGTTGTAAATAACAGTAATTTCTACTTCTACTATGGTGTAGTGTTGGATGCACGCCGTAGAGCTCCATGCTGCCCCCTACAGTTTGGGAGAATATTGGCTCACCGCAGAGACGAGCCGCACGAACCATAAACGCTGCGAGTTGTGAAGCGCGTTCCATCCGCGAGCCGCATCACCAAGCGGAAAGTAAATGCGTCAAGCATAAATCAAGCAGCCTTGTTTGACGACGTCTGCAGCCGATCCCGTCGATGTGCAGATGAGTTCACGCTACGGAGGTCTGAGCTGTTTCCTGCAGCTCTATGTAACAATTCTAAACCTTAAAGTGACAGATGCACCCACAAATTCAAGTTTCAATTCAAGTTTATTTATATAGCACCAAATCACGACAAGAGTCGTCTCAAGGCACTTAACATAATAAAAATTCCAATTCAGGTCAGTTCATTAAGCCAATCAGAAATAATGTTTCCTATATAAGGAACCCAGCAAATTGCATCAAGTCACTGACTAGTGTCAGTGACTATACAGCAATCCTCATACTAAGCAAGCATAAAGCGACAGTGGAGAGGAAAACTCCCTTTTAACAGGAAGAAACCTCCAGAGAATCCTGGCTCAGTATAAGCAGCCATCCTCCACGACTCACTGGGGATGGAGAAGACAGAGCAGACACACACACACGCACAAAGACAAGTAATGTGTCTATAGTTATATTAATGGAAGGTAAAACGCTGAGTCATTATTTCAGTGCTACCACATAGGTGCCTCACTCTGACATTTTTGGAACAGCTTGTTCATGTCTTGGTCTGCCAACACTTGGCATCACTGGCTGTTCTTTAATGGGGTCCATTAGTCCATACAGGCTAATATTAGAGGCTAATATTAGAGGATTTACGGTAACTGTCTTCGGTCCAGAAACTAGATTTGTTATTTATATTTTTAATCATATGTTGTTTCTGGAAAAAAAAAAGGGAATCAAGCAAGAATGGTATCTGCAGCTTTGAGCTGATCAAGAATTGGGAATAGGTATCGGCCCTCAAAACCAGAATCGGTGCATCTAGTAAAGATCGGTACCAAAACCAATAAAAACAGAAACAATTGGCCCTATTTTCTGTCTACAAAGCTCCGTTTCCCTCGTGTTGCTGCTGAGGTTGCTACCTCTGTTCTCCTGCAATTAATATTAAATGGAAGCTGATGGGAAATTCATGTTTAATCTAGAAAGTGCATTTAGGATGTATAATTCACCGTTGGAGGCCCATGTCGTGTTGAGATGCAGCTGAAGGACATCGACTCGTTTTTCCCATCAGGTCCTTAAAAAAACCCAGATGTGGTTGTTTTTATCTCACCCGCTGCGGCGTGGACAATCTAAGATTCAGCATCACGCCAGCAGCCGTTCATCTGTCGAGCATCACTAGTGTTAATCGTGACACTCGGCCATCTGCACGCCTGCTTCTGGTTCACCTCATTTGAAACGACTGCACCGGATGAGAGGAGAAAACTAAAACAGGAATAAGCTTTTCACTCGTCTTTCATTCCGAAGCCCTGAACTCTGGACGACGCCGGCTCAGGCAGACGTTCTCCCCGAGACGAGTCTTTATTCACTGGGAGTTCGTCCTCATCAGCAGCACCAGACGTTTGTGATAACTGAGCGTCGTAAACGTCCTGCAGCTTCTCCTCTGGCAGGGCCGTCACGCGCCCTTTGTGGTAGAGATGCGTGAAAAAGCTTCCTCCACCCTCATCTGGAGCGCGTTTGGATAAGGAGACCAGACGGCTCTGGATCCGATTTGCTGTTTGGTCGTTTGTTAAATTCAAACTTTACAGCCGTTTCTTTCTGTATAAAGTGATAAGTTAAGCTAACATTTACATTAGCAACCCTGGTAGAATATTTCTGTAATAAAAAACTATGCAAGTACAGAAGTTAGTGATGCACGGACGGACTCCGCTGACATCACCAAGTTTCAAACAGGATTTCCTGAATTTTTTTAGGCTCAACATTAACATTAAAATATGACTAGTTCTGAAGTTTCAGAGTAAAGTAAAATAGAAATCAGAGCGACTGAGCAGAATGAACTTGTTTAAAGTAAAAAAACATTTAGTTTTAGCTGCATGTGATGACCTCTATGTGCTAATTAACACGACAACGTTATCAAGATTATTAAAGGAGAAATGTGACATCATTTAGATTAAAGGAAAAGTTTGACTTCTTCTACGTTTGTGTCTTCCAGGATGGAAAAACAGCAGAAGATCTGGCTTTAGCCGATCATCACGAACTGATCGTAGCTCTGCTGGGAAAACTGAAGAAGGTGGGAAAGAAACACACCTGGAATAACTTTTGTTATTGATCCTAATTAGAAGAAGGAGAAGAAGAAAAAAGTATAATTTCTATAGCGCCTCTCAAGATAAAAATCACGAGGCGCTTCAAGAGATAAAAGAGATTATTAGATTTAGGAGGAGGAGTATGGTGGTGATGACGAAGATGGTGTTGATGGGAGTGATGATGATGGTGAGGATGGTGGTGGTGGTGGTGCTGATAATGATGATGATGATGAAGATGGTGATGGTGGTGATGATAATGATGATGGTGGTGGTGGTGAGGAAGATGATGATGATGATGACTGTGATGATAGTGGTCGTGATGAAGATGGTGGTGATGACGAAGATGGTGTTGATGGGAGTGATGATGATGATAATGATGAAGATGGTGATGGTGGTGATGATAATGATGATGATGATGAAGATGGTGATGGTGGTGATGATAATGATGAAGATGATAAAGGTGATGAAGGTGGTGATGATGATGATAATGATGAAGATGTAGAGGATGATTATGATGACGGTGGTGGTGTGGAGGATGGTGATGGTGGTGATGATGATGATGATGATGAAGATGATGAA